GGTATACTTGCTTGACCCAGCCTAGGCGGTACATATTAATAGTATGTCTTTTGCTACTAGGCTACAAACCTTGTACAGTGTATTACTGTACTGAATACCATAGGCCAACTGGTAACACAATGGTATTTGTGTGTATCTAAACATATTTAAACCAATAAAAGTGACAGTAAGAATACACCTGGTATAAAAATAAAAATGGTATACCTGTAGAGGGGGCATTTTATAATGAATGGAGCTTGCAGAAGGTGGAAGTTGCTCTGGGTGAGTCGTGAGTGAGTGGTGGAGTGAATGTGAAGGGCCTAGGACATTACTGTACACTACTGTGAGCTTTATAAACACCTGTATATTTAGGCTACACTATATTATTTTTAAAAGTTTTTGCTTCAATAATTAAATTCAACCTCTACTTACTGGTAATTTTACTTATAAACTTTTTAATTTTTAAGCTTTTTGACTCTTGCAATAAACACTTAGGCTTACAACACACATTGCATGAGCGTGTACAAATATATATATAGGTATATATTATTTTCTTTTTTTTTAGAGACAGGTTGTGCTCTTGTCGTCCAGGCTGGAGTGCAGTGGCACGATCACAGCTCAAGGGAGCCTTGAACTTCTGGGCTCAAGGGATTTTCCTATCTCGGCTTCCTGACCAGCAAAGACTATGGTTGTATGCCATCATGTCGGGCTAATTTTTTGATTTTTAGTAGAGATGGGGTCTTTCTCTGTTGTCTAGGCTGGTTATAGGCTTTTTTTTTTTTTTTCTAGCTTTTAAAACTTTTTTGTTAAGAACTAAAACACAGACATATTAGCCTAGGCCTGCATGGGGTCAGGATCAGCTATATCACTGTCTTCCACTTCCACATCCTGTCCCACTGGAAGGTCTTCAAGGACAATAACACACATGGAGCTGTCACTTCCTATGATAGCAACACCTTCTTCTGGAGTTCGTCCTAAGGTCCTGCCCGAGGCTATCCTTACTGGTTTATATATTTACTGTACTATACTTTTTAGAGTATCTAAAAGGTTTAAAAAGATAAAAAGTATAGTACAGTAAATATATAAACCAGTAACATAGCTGTTTATTATCAAATATATACTGTACATAATTGTGCTATTCTTTTATATCAGTAGGTTTACACAAGCATCACCACACGTGTATTGCACTGTGCTGCAACATTACAACAGCTATGTCGTCACTAGGCAATAGGAATTTTTTAGTCCATTATAATCTTTTTTGTTTATTTTTGTTTTTTGAGACGGAGTTTCGCTCTTGATGCCCAGGCTGGAGTGCAATGGCATGATCTCGGCTCACTGCAACCTCTGCCTCCCAGGTTCAAGCTATTCTCCTGCCTCAGCCTCCCAAGTAGCTGGGATTACAGGCATGCGCCACCACGCTCAGCTAATTTTGTATTTTTTGTATAGACAGGGTTTCTCCATGTTGGTCAGGTTGGTCTCAAACTCCCGACCTCAGGTGATCCGCCTGCCTCGGCCTCCCAAAGTGCTGGGATTACAGGCGTGATCCACCACACCTAGCCAGTCCATTATAATCTTATGGGACTACATTGTATATGTGGTCTCACTGACCAAAATGTCATTATGCAGTGCATGACTGTACTTCATAAATCCTGCCGCCAACCTTCCTGTCTCCAGGTTCATTCCATTACAGGTTGAGTATCCCTTATCTGAAAGGCTTGGAACCAGAAGTGTTTTGAATTTCATTTTTTTTTCCAGATTTTGGAATATATCCATTATACTTGCTGATTCAATACCTCTAATTAAAAATCCAAAATGCTCCAGTGAGCATTCTCTTTGAGGGTCATGTCAGTGCTCAGAAAGTTTCGGATTGTGGAGCATTTTGGATTTGTAATTTTTCGATTAGGAATACTCAACCTGTACTGTCTTCTTCCCCATACTATGAACAACATGAGGGCAGGGATTGCCGTTTTCATCTTTGTATCCCCAGTGCTTAGCACAGTGCCTGGTACATATGAAGGTCCTAAAAAACCCTGGAAGAATGAGGAAGTACAGGTCCATGGAAGGACACCAGGGAAACACTTCAGCGCCTGACTCTCCTCCTGACCCCAGAGCAGAAAGTTGAGGTCCTCTGGTCAGCTGAGGAGAGTTTCCTAAAGTCCCTGTAGTTTCCTTTCCTAAAGGTTGAAGAGAATAAGTCTGTCTAATTTGGCTATTGATCAGCCTTTAGGTTTCGGTTGTCAATTTTAGGGAGACTGTTCCCTTCCCCTAAATTGCTGTCATCTTCATACATCATTTAAGTATTGCCAGAAACAACTGAATGACATGCCAGTATACTTTCAAGAGGAATAGATCGAAAGATTCTTTACAATTCAAATTACAGGACTAGTGAGTTCATGACCATCTCACCATTTAAGGTACATTTACCCATCTCAGTCTTCATCCTACATCTCTGATTAAACCTTAAGCAGTAACAAGGCCCAGACTCCTCAAAGGCAGAAAGACTATTCTAGATTAAAGGAGACTAAAGAAACATGACAACAAAATATACTATATATTTCCTGGATTGGATCCTGTATCAAACAAACAAACATACCATATTTAGGGCAACTAAACATATTTGGGACAACTGAAAAATGTTAATATAGATTACATATTAAATAATAGTATTGTATCAATGTTAAATTCCTTGGGTATAATAATGACACTTTGATTATGTAGAATGATATCCTTTTTCTTAGGAGATACATGATGAAGTACTTAGGAATAAAGTGTTTTCTGTTACTTTTTTTTGTGTGTGTGGCAGGGTCTCACTCTGTCACCAGGCTGGAGTGCAGGGCACAATCTTGGCTCACTGCAAGCTCTGCCTCCTGGATTCAAGTGATTCTCCTGCCTCAACCTCCTCAGTAGCTGGGACTACAGGTATGCACCACCATGCCTGGCTAATTTTTTTTTTTTTGTATTTTTGGTAGAAACAGGGTTTTATCATGTTGGCCTGTAGGTGCACAGAAATCAAGAGTTGAGGTTTGGGAATCTCCACCTGGATTTCAGAGGATGTATGAAAATGCCTGGATATCCAGGCAGAAGTCTGCTACAGGGGCAGAGCCCTCATGGAGAACCTCTGCTAGGGCAGTGCAGAAGGGATATGTGGGGTTGGAACCCCCACAGAAAGTCCGTGTGTGCATGTATAGAGAGAAAGAGAGAGTGCACATTTTGGAGAAAAGAGAATATGAATTTGGGTGAAGGGTATATGGGTCTTCATTGTACCACTCTTCCATAAGTTTAACATTTTTCAAAACAGTGTAGGGGGAAAAAACCTTACACAGTATCAGCTGAGTCTATGATAAAACTCCTCCCTAAGCTTTAAGTCTCACATACCATCTTTCACCATGCTGTTAACTCTACTACTTTCTGATACGGTTTGTCCCCATCCAAATTTCATCTTGAATTGCTAACTCCCATAATCCCTGTGTGTCACGGGAGGGACCTGATGGGAGGTAAGGGGCTTTTCCCCCTTTTGATTGGCACTTCTCCTTGCTGCCACTATGTGAAGAAGGACATGTTTGTTTCTCCTTCCACCATGATTGTAAGCTTCCTGAGGCCTCTTCAG